TATATATATATATGTATGCACCTAAGCTCAAAATATTATATGATGCGATATTATTGGGTGCACCGCTCTAAGTTAGATTGTGAGTTCAAATCTTATATTTTTTGGTAAAAAATGTGAATATTACCATTACAACCAAAAACAGTTTTTTATAACCTACGAGCTTCTAGTGTCTGAACAGATACAAACTCTAGATCTCCAAGCATATCAGCACATCTATTTACATATTCTCTGAAACAACACTTTACTTTTCCTATCTCTTCTTCCACTATACACTATCTCCAATTTGTCTACAATCTCTTTCTTAATTTGTTCATTTACAAGATCTATGCTCACATTTACTTTCCTGAATATTTTTCAGTTCCTTGCTTGTTAGGTATAATACACCATGGTACCTCATACAGCACCAACTATTTCCTTCTGAACTTGGCTCATCTTCTTCTTTGGATCCATTTGATCACCTTACTAGCTTCATTGTTATGAATTTTGATGTCCATCCAGCTACTCAACTTATCTCTAAGGGTTGTTATCTATTTGCATTGTCCAAAGAGGTGAGTCTGAGTTTCCACCTGAGTCTGGTCACATAAACAACAGTTGTGATCTTCTACTTCAAACTGCATTCTCTGCATCCTCTCCTTGGTTAGCAATTTGTTTTGACATGCCAGCCATACTATAAATCTTTGTTTAGGAAGCATTACTTTACTCCATATTAGCTTAACTTACCTTGTTTTAGATAGAGGCCCCAACATATGTTGATAACTCTTGGACATAGAGTATTCTACTATTTTTGACAACATGTATTTGTCTTATTGATACCATCCTACCATTTGAGACTTAAGAGAGTTCAATTTCTTCCAATACCAGCTATAGTCTGTTGGTGGTTGGTGTTCCCATATACTTTTCTTATCCTTTATCTATATATTGTTGACCCATACAGTGTTTTTTTTCCTAGCTAATTTCCATAGAAGTTTACCTACTGTAGAAATGTTCCATTTGCAGCAACTTTTGATGTTTAAACCTTCATATTGTTTAGGAACACAGACCCTTTCCCATGCTACTAGGTTAACCTTCCTTTTGTCTTCAGTTGTACCCCACAGGAAGTCTCTGCATTTCTTATCAACAAGCTTTACCACACTTTGAGGAAGAATAAACACAGTACTCCAGAAGTTGTATATAGAGAACAGAACTGCCATTATTATTTGCAATCTCCCAGCATATGACAATTGCCTTGTATAAGCTATGATTTTGTTTGTGATCTTATCAACTAGTTGATTGCAATCCATCTTATTCCACTTCCTTGATGTAAGAGGAAGGCCTAGGTACCTTATAGGAAAGGTCCTTAAAGTGAACCCAGTAATCTTCAGCATATTCTGCCTTGTCACCTTATCTACTCCTGCTACAAACATGCTAGATTTATCTATGTTTGCCTTTAATCCTGTAACATCACTGAAATGCTGTAATGCCTCCATCACTCTAGCTATGGATTTCAGATTTCCTTTACAGAAAATCATCAAGTCATCTGCAAATACTAAGTGAGTTAACTTTATTTTCTTGCACACGGGGTGATATCTGAAGTCTGGGAGATCACTCATCTTACCAAGAACCCTTGAAAGATATTCCATTACTAGAACAAATAGGAGGGTGAGATAGGATCCCCTTGCCTAAGCCCCTTCATGCCTTCAAAATAGCCATGTTTTTCTCTATTAATTCTAATAGTGAACTGGATTGTAATAACACAAGTCATCACCAGTTTAGTGAATGAATCTGGAAATCCAAATCCTTTCAAAGCTTCCTCTATGAAATTCCAGTTGATCATATCATATGCCTTCCTCAAGTCAATTTTCATAAGGCACCTAGGAGATGTTTTCCTATTATAGTGTCTCAGTAAGTCATGGCAGATTAGGACATTAAGAATCAAAGATCTACCTTCAAAAAAAGTTGCCTGGTTTTCAGCTACTAGTATTGATACAGCTTTCTTGAGCCTCTTGTACAACATCTTGAAAATGCATTTGTATATGACATTGCAACAAGAAATTGGTTTGAATTGACTTGCATACTCTTGAACTGGAACTTTGGGGATCAAAGATATTACTGTTGAGTTGACTTGTCTTAACAATTTGACATTCTCCATGATTCCAATATAGCTGCTGTAACATCATTTCCAATTATACTCCAAGCTTCATTATAGAAATCACTATCATAACCATCTGGACCTGGACTTTTGTTCACATCTATACTGAACATAGCCTGTTTCACCTCCTTAACTGTGAATGGTTGTATTAATTCCATCTGTTGTATAACATTCAGTGTAGTGCCATTCTTCAAAAAGCTTTGAAATGCTTTTGATCTTCTTCTTTCTTTCCTTCCTAGCATAGTTTCATAGTAATCTACCAGAACATTTGTTATGCTTATATTATATGTTGCTAGTTCCCCATTTTGATCCTTGATCTGTGTGATGGCCTGTTGCAATCTTTTGTGCCTGATTACTTAGTAAAAATACCTAGTGTTGTCATCTCCTAACTTAATCCAGCTTGCCTTGCTCCTTTGTAATAGAAACATTTCAACTAGATAAGAGGAATTCCTGAATTTCTGGTACATGGCTGTCTCCTGTTCTTGTAAAGTTTTATTAGAGGGGTCAGAATGCAATCTATTCTGGGCTTGGTTTAAAGATGCCCTATCTTCCTCAGCCTCTGTTAAGATATTCCTAAAGTGCTGTTGATTGAGCATCTTCAAATCATTCTTTAGTAACTTCAGTTTCTTAACTACTTGAAATATACTGCACCCTGAAACTTGTTCCTGCCATCCCTGTGTTACAACCTCTTTAAACTGAGGGTGTAAAACCCACACATTGCAGAATTTAAAAGCTCTAGCCCTCTTCCATCCTCCTGTATCTTTCTTTATTCTAAGTGGACAATGATCACTTATTCCCTCCACTAGAAATACATCCTGAACCACTGGCATATTATCTAGCCACTCTCTATTGACAAATGCCCAATCAATTTTTGAAAAAACTCTATTATCACCATGTTTGTCATTCCATGTGTATCTACATCCTCCACATGGTAACTCCATGAGTTCACAAGAACCAATACACTCTTGGAAATCCACCACTTCACCCATAGTAACTGAAAGTCCTCCTATTCTATCATCTGCTTGCAGGATAGAGTTGAAATCCCCTGTTACTAACCATGGTTGCTTTATTTCTCCACTCATACTTTCTAAGTATTGCCATAAACTTCTTCTTTCTTCCCTTGTATTAAAAACGTACACAACTGTCATATAATACTCCTTCTGAAAAACAACATCTGTAGCTAAACATGTTATGCTTTGGGCAGTTCCACTTATGTACCTGACTTGATAGTAATCAGGTCTACATGCTATAACTACTCGACCATTATAATGGTACTCCAGATTTGTAATGTAATTCCATCCTCCAAGCATATTGTTTATTACTTCAAATCTTATATTAATCTTGTTGTTTTTTTCTTTTTTTTTCCTAGAATAAGGCGCCCACGGGAGATTGGACATGTTTGATGTCACTTTTGCGAATTAGTTAAGTACTTTTTCGTTTTCTTTCTTCTTTGTTTGGTTTATTCTTTTAAAATTTTCACCCATTGAAATTACTATTCTTCTTTTGTCATTCTAAAAACTTATATGATTAAATACAATGTTTATATTAAAACAAGTAGCGGTGGAAGATGTAGCATATAGTCAATGGATTTAACTGATTCTAATATTTTTGTCACTGTATAGATTTAAGAAACTATACTACTATTTAAAAAATAATAATTTTAAACTTAAAAGTGTAATTGGTGTGATAGCAAGAATTAAAGGTTAAACTCCTAAAATTTATATCCTGAATCTACCTCTTCGTCGTTGTGCACCCATCTTGCCAAAATTTTGGAATAGTTTAGCCCTCTGGACCCACAGATCTGCGCTATCATGAATCAATGTAGTCATGATATAGACTATTTTCAATACTTATTTGGAGAGCATGCTTCTACTCCATTTTGAATAGGATGATTACTGTCTCTGTGTGGAAAAAGAAAATCAGTGGAGTACCAGAACCTCATGAGAACTTTGGTCTGGTTGTACTTGGGCAGTGGGCTAATTGGCAATTACTCATTGACCAAATCAGTTTTCTTTGCCTAGGCTATACTACTATAGTAATCAACTTGATAAATGATGACCAAAAAATTCCAAAATTGACCATTGACTTCCAAATTTCATGCTGGTCTGTGTTATTTTACTTGTCAAAGATGGTTTTGTGTGTCTACTTTAGTACTGTGTGCAATATAATGGAACAACCCTTGAAGCACTCTTCACATTGCTAATTGCTTACATATATAATTCGGCAAAGGGTCAAATATATCCTTGTACTATGAGAAAAGGTTTAAATATACCCTTCGTTATACTTTGGGTCTAAATATATCTCTGTTGTAATACTATTATTTTACATATATCCATCTTCTATTAAGTTTGTCCAAGATGGATATCCAATCCTATGTGGCACTGATATTTGATGAGGTGAATGTACATGGCATGTCATCTCAGCTCCTCTAATCCATATATAAAAGACTAAAATTTGAATGGAACGGTAATGATGGTAATGGTGGTGGAGAGAAGAAAATTTTAGTGGTAGAAAAAAAATAAAAGGGAGGGGCAAAATGGGTTAGGAGCGCTGAAGTGGCAAGCCATGTAGAGTCCACCTCATCAAATTTTAGTGTCACGTAGGATTGAATGTCCACTTTAAACAAACTTAACAGAAAAGAGGTGTATTTGAACTAATAGTATAACAACAAGGGTATACTTACAGTGGTATATTTGGCCTTTTTCCGTATATAATTTGCTTCCCACCTGTCCTTACACGTCATTATAGAATAAGTTTAATGATCCAAAGCAATTTAAGAATCTAATTAGTCTTGGTAGACAGTGTACACCACACAAACAGAGAGGGGGCTGTGGGGTTAGAGGTTGGGTCTTGAGATTATGAAGAAAGTGATTAACTTTTATTGTTCACAGTTGGGACCATTTATATATGTAGGATCACTGATTAGCTACCTACTTTATCATACTTGGCATTTATAGCCAATTGGCAGGTTCATTTCTCTGAAAAGTTAATTAGGTGATCCCAAGTTTAAGACTTCCATAAGCGGGCAAACAACAATGTGCTAGGGCAGATTCACATTTTCCTCTTCAATTCTTTTTTTCATAATTATCTTATTTGCTGGTCCAAATAATCCAAATTCGCTTTATGTTGTGCCCGTCAAAAGGAAGCATATTTTTTCATTCTTACCTCGAGACTTCTAATTAAGGGTCGAAGAATTTCATCAATCCCGTCACCTCCCGAAATCTTCACCTATTGTCAAAAAGTGTAGTAGATGGGATGATACTATGCACTCACGGAACGTAATGGCACAAGTTATTACGCGGTAAAAGGTAATAAATACTGTTGCTCTTTAAGGGTGGGCAACTGAAAGTTTTGACTTATCTATTTTGTAGTACCGTGCTTAAAGCAACTTTTGAAACATAATTATGAATGATTGATCATTTTAGACTCTAGAGTCTCATTGGACAAGGATCATCAATCAGTCTAATTATTCAGCAGCAGTTCCTGTATGTACTTAGATATACTTTTTATTATTTATTCACAGTTAATCACTATATATTCTCACCTCACTTTATCATATAACCTAGTTAATTTATGTGGTTGGGTGTTAATACAGAATGTTGGCAAGTATTTATTAAATTATTTTGTAGACGAACACGTGAATTTTATTTAATTTTGCAGGTTGATTTGGAAAACCTCCATAAATTCAACTGCAAGAAGGAACTATAGGTCTCTAGAAATAATTAGTAATAATGTAGACAGCTACCCTCAAAATAATAATAGCATGTTTCTTGAATTAGGTATTCAACATGCAATAAAAAGTAGCTACAACTAATTTTCTCCATTGGAGGAACGCACTGGGTTGTAGATTATTTGGGCTTATTTTTATCCTGGCATTTCATAATTGAAGCCAAATGGATTAAACTGAACACGTAGTAATACTTGAAGAACTGACAAAAACAAACAAGTTTGCTGGTCTGTGTTTTTAGGTATAATAGACTCTCTATGAACTGGTCAGGATTAGCTATATGAATCCTGCTATACTAATCCATTTTAAGGATTCAGAAGGTCACGAAACAAGATCTGCTGTTGTAAATGGCTTTAGAATTATTTGCCTTCCATCTTAAGGAATGCCATTGAGACCCACTCGGAACACTTAAGTTCACTGTGTGACACAGTTATCCACCAAAGCTACAACAATTCACTCAATAGGCTGCTGAGCTACCTAAGAATTTAAACTCTACTTTAAGCTTTTAAAATGCAACATATTAATGACTTCTGAAAAAAAAAATGAAGTTGGAGAAATGTATGCCCACCCAATTTGTTTGGGACTGCGGGGTAGTTGTTGTTGGTGAAATGTATGCCTACCCAATTTGTTTGGGACTGAAGCGTAGTTGTTGTTGGACAAATGTATATCCAGCCCTGAGTTCCCTTTGCTATAAGGATTCATCAGCATATGGTAACTTGCAGGGAGCAGATATATCCTTTGACTTGTATTGGCCTAGCAGTTCTGCAACAGTTCTACAACGACATTGGTTTCCAGGGCGGATAACATCCCCATAAACAGCCATTTCAATTACATCGAGCTCCTTATCTGCATCGCCCAAGTTACATGGTAAATATTAGCGAAATGTTACTGCTGCAAAAAAAATGACCATGCAGTAAGCATACAAATTTATATGCCCAACTACTCTGTGTGAAGTTGGAAGGATGACTTAATTAATTACACATTTTAAGGGACCTTAAGGTCGGTGAAGTTCTGCTAGATTTCATAGAAAATCTTATACCATATACTATTAAATAGTCTCCACAGGTTACCTTCAGACAAGAATATCTCAGTTTGCACTAATTGTGTAGAAGAAGGTATTACTGGTCCTCTATACTTACCAGTTCCATTATACCTTATCTAACAATAACTGCACCTCAGCCCTAAACAGTTCCATTATACCTTATCCACAAAAAAGAGAAAAAAGAAACTCACCAGTTACCAGATCCATAATCTGAAGTTGCCTAAGCTGTTGTGTCACAAGGTAGGTTCTGTAATAACTTATTGCGAAACAGCAGAATATAGAGTCTGGAAAAAAAATGAAGGGGAAAAACTGGCACAACTTCAGAAAGGGGTCTAACCAGTTAAAAGAGCAACACAAACGTTATTGGTTCTATCCTTTGTGAGAAGATTATATAGAGATGGTAGCACGGCTGATATAGCAGGGATCAAACTCTGAGGAAGTGAGGCAGCATCTACCAAGATAAAGAACTTCTATATGTTTTTAGGCTATGTCTAGCTAACATGACAAAGGAATCCTTCTAGATGGACGAATTATAGGCTCTTTGCTTGATCTTCTACAATGGCAAAATCTTATCTCTGTTAGGACCTAGATTGTCAAGAATAATCTAAAAAAAGATAAGATCTACGTAGTTTGGGAAGAATTGTCTACATCCACATTTGCACAAAAGAAAAACAATTCTATTACTTGTGTTCTGTTGCAAAGCTTCTCTTGATTTCACATCATGTTTTCTCACTAGGGTTATGCGACGAGAAGTAGGACTTGAATTCTAACCGAACTTTTATTTGGATTCAGAAACCAGCTTTAAACCAAAAACCTTCTCCAACTACTGCTGGCTGTAGGAGACAGAAAAAGATATACAGTAAAGATTAATCTTAATGTGACCGCATGCATACTGCCCCTCTGATGGAATTTTTTTTGTCAGAATGAGACCTTACATGGGCCAAGAGAGTACTGAATGGAAAAACATTAATCTGAGCAAGACATCCCCACAAGAACCATCACAATGACAACCATGAAAATGCAACTTAGGTTCAAACCAAATACCACAACAACAGCAATGTTTCATATGATTTTTTAATGGTTATGCAAAATAATTTGCCTCCTATATTAACTGATTGTATCTCTATATAAACTGTGTCAAATTATCTTGTTAAACCTGAAAACACATGAATACCTGAGAACCGCCATGAAAATACAATATTACAACTACTATGACTAAACTTCAATTCCAGACAACAATAAGATCATTATAGCATATCAATCGGTAGTAATCCTGTAATCCAGATAGAGATCAGGCAATGACTTAAACTTTGAAATTACCGCAGAAATGATGCAATTTTTATCTTAAGAGGCTACAGGAGAACAGAACGATTATTTAGCTCACAGCTCTCCACTGTAGGGGCTAAGTCCAGAAGCCATAAATATTGATAATGCCATAAATATTGATAGAAGCAGAACAAATAGGGAAAGATCAGGAGAGTACCAGTGAACTTGATATCGCAAGAGTAGCTTTTTAGCTGATTAATATCAATCTCATCCTTGTTGGCTTTAAGCCTGTTTACCCTTGTTTGAAGGATCTGGCAGTTCTCCACTATGGACTCACCCCCTGCATAAGGAAACACATAGTAAAATTGTGCAACAACCATGTGTTGACCACCAAACCAAAATTCAATGGCCCCACCTCACTCCTCCCGCCCAACCACCGGATGCGGAAAAAAATATATATATATATAAAGCAGGATTTTTCATCAGTTAATATTATGTCCAAATGATTAAAATCAGTACAACAAAAAAACAAAATCAGTTTAGGAGTGAATCAGATCAATCAAACAACCAAATACCCCTCAATCCCAATTGTTGAAGTTGCCCATTATTAAGGTCCATTTCATTACATTTAGGTGAAAATAGAATCAACTACCTCTCAAATTCAGAGGCAAAGCTAGGATTTCAACTTTATGGGTTCTTAATTTTTTGTACGATGTCAACTAGGTTCTAAATTTAATATTTGTACATATTTAATGGATTTCTCAGTAGAAATATATTGTTTGAGTAAAAGCTACTAGGTTTGTCCGAACCCATATCCGGGCTTCTGGCTCCGCCCATGCCCTCAATTTCAAACTAGTTCGTTAATATGAATCCTCTATATCCAATCCGCTCTATTTGGGCTCAGTTCGTTCCACTTGGGCAGTAATGATTAACTATGGTAATAACAAAATCAATAAAGCCCCAATTCCAAACTAGCTAGGATTGACCACATGAATCCTATGTATCAACTCCGAGTCCAATTCATTTTGCTTGAACAGTAATGATTCACTTTGACAATAATAAGCAATCAACTAATCCTTAATCTCAAATTGATGACAGAACGTTCAGGAACAAACTAGTCAAGTCAGCTACAAGGGGCAGACATAGAGTATTAAGTTTCGGCTTGGACCTTGCGTATGCGTTAAGAAAATAACTAAACAAGTACAAATAATTGATTTCGAACTCAGTAAATCAAATGAGTTGTAGAATCCCGAACTTAAAACAATAAAATTCAAATCCGGCCTCTATTGGCTACTAGAATGAGTCAGATAATCAGCTAAAAATACTGAAATATGTAGAATAGTTGTGTTAGCAAACTACTGGTAATAAATAGGAGGGACCTTTGGAGAAGGGAATAATGTGGTCATATTCAAAGCAAAGGCAGCCTTGACAATTGGCAAAGCGTTTACAGACAACGTTTCCGGCGGAATCTTTGCGCCAGCGTTCGGGATGTCGACCAGGTACAGTCTCCGCCTTGGCCCAGCACATCTTCTTCGCTTCAGTGTCAAAAGTCCTTGCTCTTTGCTCCTTTTCTCCTCCTCGAGATCGACCAGGTGAGCTTGAAGAGCTCATCTTACTACCTAACCCAGTTCCCGCTCTCTCTTTCTTGGGGTTTAGGTGGAGGAGATTGACAGACTATACAAGGAAGGAGACGAGACGAGACGACTGTAAATAGGAAGAGGGAAATCATCAACAAATCATCTTTTTTTTCCGTGACATTGGAAGTTTCCAGGCCTCTCGTTGGATAAAATAGAACCTAGAATTTTGTGCATTTGATTTGAAGAGAATAACTGCATATGTTTTCCCGTTCCTTCTTTATTTACCTAGGAAACGGTTGTATTTTTTTTTTTTTTAAATCATTATGCACAAAAATACTACAGAAATATTTGAAATAGAATAATTTTGCTCTTGTTTTGTTTTTGCCTTTTTGACATAAAAATTCCCTCCTCATAGTCAATTAACTTAAAATTTACACTTCCAGCTAGCCAAATAGCTCAAAAATATCATTTTCAGAACAGAAAAAAAAAAGGCTAATTCTGCATTATTAGAAATGAGACAATTGTGCCCTTGTTCTTTTATCTTTGTGGAGGGGAATTTAAATGTGCTAGAAAAATATAACAAAAAATAAGAAAATAAGTAGTATAAATCCTTCTCGTTTTAACAACGAAGAAATGATGACATGTAGCTATTCTTTTTCTTCTGGTTCCTTACGCATGAGTTTTACTGATAGTAGGCTATATAATTGATATTTACACTTTAATATGACCATATTTTGTTATTGTTTTATAGATAAATTGTCAACAAAATGCTCTAAATAGTGTTCTTTTGTTTAGCAGGGAATATTAAATGAGAGGAAGCAACATGGAGTGTTTTGGAGGCGATAATGTGAAGAAAAACGCTCACTCGAGAAGTACCCGAACACAAAGAAGCATAAATGGCCTGGTTAAAAAGGCCACCGCGACCGCGGTAGATTAACAACGTAAGGCAGAAAGGTCAGCATTCACCGCGGTCGACCGCGGTGCACTGTTCACGCTGCTGGAAAGTTTGAGGACCAAAGTGTAAAATCAGGAAAACTTTTGTAAAACCCTTATATGTTTTAGAAATTTGCCTAAGATTGTGCTAAGCTGATTTTAGACTACTTTTGGAGGCAAGAACAAGAGTGAGAAGATCAACAAAACATTAGAGTTTTTCTATCTCCTTTTAATTCTTGCAATTTTACATTATGAACAATTTAGTAGTTTTCTCTTATTTTGTTATGAGTAGCTAAATACTTATCTAGGGTTGATGGAACCAATTGTTGGTTGAAGTTTTGACTCAAGTTGTTATAATCGAGCCGGATTTATGATATGATTGTTCAACTACGTTTTGTACGGTGATTAATTGAATGGGCCCTTGATTAATCGTGTCTAATTACCTTATATTGCTTGAGAAAGAATATTAGGTTAGATAGCTGTTGAACAACACCACTTTTGGATAATTGAAGAGATTCATTACTTGAACTTAAAAGTGGGTTTAGAGATAACAAAACTTTGGTGGGATAATTTAGAGTTGCATAACTATTGTCAGCTAGAGTAGTTCGAGAGAATGCTCTAGTAAATTATTGTAGTTGATCGAGAGATAATTACGATAACCCATAACTCTTAATCCTCATAGAGTATTACAGCGAGATTATAGCGGAAGATTCAAGACCTAAACTAGCAATTGGGAAATCACTGCCCCAGACCTTTTTACCATTGAATTATCTTTGTTTTAGCTTACTGTTGTTTTTAATAGTAGTTGAAGTAGTTAAACAAAAACCCAATCTTATTGATAAAAAATCTTGCATCTAGAGATTGATTGAGTTGATAATAACATTGCCGTAGAGTGTAATAGATAAGTTAGTTCCCTGAGGATTCGATTCCGGACTTAAAATCGGATTATATTTGCAGCAACCGCTTTGTCTTTTAAAAGACATAGTTGGGCGTTATCATTCACCTCCCTCTAGAATACTTGGAAATGGACACAACCACCAAATATTCCATTGACCAGTTTATATGTACAGTTCAGAATAGGGAGTCTCGACCAGCGAGCTTCTCCCCGGAGGTAAGAAGAGAAGGGTTTCGGCACAGTTTATATGTACAGTTCAAATAATATCAAAGCGGTAAAAGCAGCATTTAGCACATTAGGCTCAAA